TTCTACTTTAGACAAAAAAAAAAGTAGTATTCAAATTCTAAAGTCGTCTGTGCTTTTTTTAAATCCAATTCAGACATTTTCTTATTCATTCAGAATACAGACCAACCTACCACATGACCCATTCTTCGGGACAAGAACCAATTTTGTGCATGTTCAAGTTTTACATTAATAGGTAATTTAAGAAACAGCTCCTGATTTGCCAAACTATTTTTTTTGTGGACCAGACTTCAAAATTTAAACACACAGTACTCTCACATGTGTTTTTTTTTTTAAAAAAAAAACACTATTATTCAACAGTAAAAATGTATATTTTAGCTGATGGTGGTCGCCTCAAAACACTCAGCCTACAGAGGCTACCATTAAAAAAGGCAAAATTATGAAACTTAGGTCAATTCCTGTTATCCTCAGAGACGATGGAATGATGCGACACAAAGTCTCCCCAGCATAAGATTGTGTCATAGGAAAACAAGAAAAAGAAAATGGTATTCTTAAAAATAACATGGAAGGACAGTTTATTCTGTAGTACAACTCATTATAGCTACATAACACAATAAAGGAATGTTATACCATCTCTTAGTGGTACATTAAAATAAATACATAAAATATAATAAATTGGACCTTAACTTGGGACATGCATATCTGAATATAACTGCAAGCGTGAGGATAAATTACATTACTGAATTAATATTTTATTCTTAACCAATATACATGAAGATAGATATGGAGATTTTTGCCTTAAAATATATAAATGAAAACTATTTTTTTTAACTTATTGCTAAGTTAAAGGAAAAAAAAAAGATGCTGCAGGGAATATTAGAAATTCATCTTAGTTAAAAAGACTGCTATGGATTCACTTCAGAATCATGCCTCAAGAGAATTCTCTTTAAGACAGTTCTCAAGTAACTGGTGTGGCAAGATGCAGGAGACTATGATCACAAGTCAAGTGCAGTAAGAAACTTTTACATGGAGACCTACTTTAAACTGATCTTTTCAGCAAAGCATTTGTGACTGTATAAAATACAAAACCTGTCCGGGAGGAACCGCAGCAGATGCTCCTGTTCTCCCATTCATGCCATCTTTAAAAATTAAACACGGATAAGTACATTAGCAGCATTTCTGTGAACTGTCAATTAAAAATAGTAAATCTGATCCTATGGTCCGACATGATCTTCTGTCTTTTCAAAGACACCACCACAACAAAACAACCTGGAATATGTAAGAATTTGCAAGATGATGCTTTAAGGGATGTGTGAAAATACTTCCTTTTAATCTGTCTGGAATGCCAGTACAACTACTCATTTTGTTTTTTTTTAATATTACAAGGTAATAAATGAAAATACTTATTTAATGAAAAAATCACAAGGTCCTATACCTTGCAGCTTAATCCTTGAGGCAGTGCTCATACGTAACTCCTATTTCCAATGGGCTCACCCACCAATCTAAATGGTCCCTATAAAGCCAGCCACAATTTACAGGACATTGGAATTACAGTGTGTAACGCACTGTATACACATGAAAACTCAACTCCTTGATCACATTTTCATCTAGAGCCTTCTGTATTTCAGAAAAAAAGTGAACAAAAATTTCCCCCCATACAACCAGAACTTTGTCAAACAGGGCAAACCTCAGAAAAGGTTAAGTAGAGAGACATAAGAAATAAAGACATCATTTAGAGCACAAAAGGAAACACAGGACCAAGGGAGAAACTTAATTAAAACTTGTAAAACATAAAAATTAAACCAGTATACGGTAAGAAAGCTCTAAATCACAAAAAGATACAGCAATGAGATACACTAGAGACACTGAGAAGACACTGAAAACACTAAATACAGCCTACAAAATTTAGCAATATAGTTAAGATTTAAACCTGATTTTTTTTTTAAATCTCAGCATAAAATGCAAAGGTTTCTGAGGTAAAAAATACATGCAGTGTTCTCAGATAGGTACCAAATGGAATTTTCAGAGAGGTGTTACAATAAGAAACAAATATGCATGTAATACAACATGCTGCACCAGTCCATTACCGTCTTCACATATGTCTATGCTGTGATAAAATTTCTTTTTAGTAGATCTCAGATCCCTTTTTGTTGGAGGGTTATATTTTATTACAACTGTTGCAGAGTATCTCTAACTTCAACCTTCTCTCAGAAGGTTACTCTTCCACAATTCTTGCATTTTTTGTGGTAATTATCTTCCCTATTACGTCACTAAAGAAATACTGACATATTGCTTAAACATGGCACCATTCAAAAAATAACAAATTTGCACAGAAATACCACAATACATATTTACTTGTTTTTCTTATAGCAAGTCTTATTAACAGTTGTTGAAGGCTTTGGTTCGTTTGTGGTTCATCACTCTTACAATAACTTCTGAAGGGTGAATATTGGCTGTATAATTATGTATGCAATCGAGTTATACAACAGGAAATACTGGAAGTCTTTATAGAATGAAAAAATGCTGCTATAGCAGAGAGAAACATTAAGTGTCACCTTTGAATGATCTGCTTCCTTACCCTAACCAAGATGCCAATGGTTCTCTGAACTTGCTTTTTAAAAGGAAAAGAAACAAAAAAATACAAGTCAAAAAAAAAAGAAAAAAGAAAGAAATAATCCACAGGTTTAATCACTGTATACCAAACATAACTGTATACCAAGTTGCCGATTTAAACATTGCCAGCACACTTTCCTCAGACAAAAATATCACATAGCAAACTAAAAGCCCTTACCTGCTAGCATGGGCACCCTGGAATCCTTTGCATCTGACTAACTAGGAAAAACATTTCTGCTAAAGGCCTTGTTTTACTTTAACGTCTTAGAAAATAAACACTAAATGAGAGAACGCAGGAGTATAATCAATCACCACATTGTTCAAAAATGGTAACACACAAATTGAGAGCATCCTCACTGAACTTTGATGTTATTTAAATTTGAAAGAGAACTGATCAATTCTTCAACTACAAACTTACAGATAAAGAACAGCTACACACTTAAAATACCAAAAGACGTATCTCAAGTTCTTCAGGAAGATGCTATTATTAGAAGGAACCACCAGAATACTAAATTTGTTTTATTGCCACTAAAAATAAAGACTGTCCACAATTGTCCAGTTATATCAATATTGTTTGTAAGAAAGAAAAAAAATTAAGTAATGCTACATTCAACAGCATGCTTCCCTTCTGAAAAGTAGAAATAATACTTCCTTGATATAGCAGAGACGTCTAGTTTTCCCATCTTTTGTCACAAAAATCAGTGCAAGGTAAGACAGGACAGAAATTATAGCATTTCTTTTGGAATCCTGCATTCAGCAGAAAAGTTAGTACTAAGCTACAAGGTGCTATTTGCAGGCAATTTGTACAAATACCCAATTTCAAAAGCTCTTCAACCAGCTCGTATGTACAGGCTGTTGAACTAGTCACAATTTCAGGGGAATTATTTATATTGAAAGGTCAACACTGTGGCCTTTTCCTGAAATGGATTGAGAATATTTTACATTTCTGTTAGTTCAAATGGAGAACTGAAGAACTACCTTTACTTTTTCCAGAATTTACACTAAGTTGTAGATTTCAATTGAAAGAAAAAAAATGGCGATTTATATGTTTAATTCATAAGTAATTAAAACAGATGCTGCATCTAAAATCTGATCTGTTCTTCATAATAATTTCCCTAATAAATGTCAAATACAGTTACATTACTATTATCCTTGTAATAACCTTAGTAGTACAGCCACCCTAAATAGGTATAAAAACCTCAGAAGACAACAGCCAATTTTTCCATTAACAACTTGGAAAACAGCAGTCATGCAATTTTACAACCTTCTCTCTGCCTAGCAGGAAAAGTCTCCATACACCTTTTACTTATTATTGTAACTGCTGATATTTGATTATAATTGTAAAATGCTTGTGTGATCCATGCTCTAAATCATCGTTTTCTCCAATTAATGTATTTATTTTTGATATTGAAAAAAAAGAAATAATACAACTGTAACGTCCCCTAAAACACTCAAACTTTTGCTGGATTAGGCAATCATCTGTTTCTTGCAGGTCAGGTTCATTATCCCTGTGCTGTAATCAATTTCCAAGTCCATCAGCAATGACTTTCACCAGCAATGAATCACCAGCAACGCTCTTTATACAAAGCAACTAAAGATCACACGCGCTTGGCCCTTCTGTATTCAGAACCAGCTACCAGGCTGCAAAATACAAGAAGTCAGAACCATGTGACAAAAGCCACCCTCTGATCCGCTCTTTGAAGAAAAAATTCTCCATTTAAATTTTCTCCATTGAGAAGAATGCCCTTTTGTTTCAAGAACCTCTGTCACAATTATCACAGGTATACGATTACTACAGTTCTACTTCTAAAATTCAGATGATAAATATAAAAACAAATCATAACTCCCTTCCAATAATATTTTGGAGGCATAAATATTTGCATTAAATGCATATAAGCACCAACACAGACATGACAGTTGTGTTAGAGAAAGTTTTCAAAATGCTGCATTTGACTAATTTACCTTTACATGATAATGGCAAGTCTTTTCCGTGTCACTGAAAATATGTGCTTATTTTAAGAGCCTAATCATGTAAATCCTATGTACAACAGGATGATAACTTCATAGACAATATACGCTATATCTATTATATATGATGACAAATAGTTGAAACCTTTGCAATTAAAGCTTATAAATTATTTGATTTGGTACCCAGCTAGTTTTCTAGAGGGGAAAAAAAAAAAAAAAAGATAACAGAAGTGTTTCAAAAACAATTTCTGGCTAAAAAACTCACACGTTTAGAAATGTATAAACCACATTGCTGTACCATACTGCATATTAAACAGAGTTTAATTTTCTTTGGGGTAGAAACAAGGAAGAAAGAAGACTGAAGAGCAAGAAAATTTTAAGCACTTAATTTTTTTCTGTGAAATTAACTTTAAATATATATTAATTTATATATTTTGGTAAGAAACAAAAGCAGAATTCATGGTTACCATAGTTACACATACTCTTTGTTGTGTTTCAATGCCACATGATCTGATTCAAAGTAATACACATCAGGCTCTTCCTCCTCATCCTCTGCAGTGTGGCTGTTGGCACTCTCTTTGGCAGATGGTATATATCCAGCAACAAGCCTAGCCTCAGAAAGTGGCTTTCTTAGTCCGTCCTTCCCATGATCTCCAGTGTTACAATTTCTCTCTTTTTCATTCTGTTTAATTTCTTCAGACTTTTTGGGAGATCCATTGATATTATTAATACCTACAGGTACATTCTTTTCAGTGGAATTAAGATTATTTTCCTCAACCTGTCCGTTTTCTCTACAAGGAGAGTTATTTTTAGTAGGGCTACTTCTAGCAGGGGCAGCCCTTCGGGGTGAAGTTCTCAATGTGTATCTGTGTTCTTGAAGTTCTGACATTGATGTCATTTGAGCTGAAACACAGTCCAGCACAGAAGAATGTGGTTCAGGTTCACCTGAGATTGATGTACTATCATGACGAGTATTTGTGTTGCTATTGGTGTTTTCAGCACACTGTTCCTTAGAGGCACTACTATCTCCTACTACATCTACCTCCTCCTCAGAATCCCTCAACAAGGATGACTGGATTTCAGAAAAGGACCCTGCAGCTGGCTCGTTTGCCTGATTAGCATGCTCCTCAGGCAAGCAGTCATTTATTATTTTGTGGTCCTCCAACTTTACCTGTTCTTGAGAGTTTGTGCAAGGCACATAATGGTCTACAACACTGTCCTCCTTGCTGCTATTAAGCAGCAATGAAGAGTGGGCAAATGCATTTCCATTTTCTGCTACCGTTTTGTCCATGGGCGTACAGGAACCAGCACTATTTTGCTTAGCGTTCCCATCAAGCTGACAGTCATCACAGTTTAGAGAATTTGAGTCTCTCTCACCAACTCCATTGACAGTCTGATAGCCTGCAATCTCTTCAACTATTGCAGAGTTATTAAATCCTTCCGCACAAACATTCACCTTTTTAACTTCCCTTTTGTCACAATCATCCAATATAAGACATCGACAAGCTCGCTTAGTCCCTGGAGACCCCGCATCATTGTCCGACACTAAGCTTTTACGTTCCAATGGTTCCTTCTCTGTCTTGGCAGGCAAGTCTTCTTCGGAACTGTTGGGTGCCTCTGAGCGAAGACAGCGCTTAATTCTTTTCAAAACAGGCGATACAGGTTCTGCTTGTCTTTTTTCACAATTTTCCACAATTTGTTTATCAGCATTATCTTTTTCTGAAGTAGACAGCCCTCTCTTCCTAGGGCTCACCCATGATTCCCGAGCACTCTGCTGTTTCAAGTCAGTAGTTCTCCCACCGTTACTTCCCTTCTGAGCTTGCACAGACTCCGGTCTCTTCTTTGGTGACCTTGATCTTACTTGAGGATGAGGTGAAACTTCCTCTGGATGAGCAATACTACGGTTTCTTAATGTTCTACCACAAAAGTTTTCATCCAAACCATTTAAACCCACTGTTGATCTTGTAACACGAGTAGATCGAGAAGCAGCCATACTACGGCAAGTCCCTAAAGTATGTTCATCATGATCCACTCATCGGGAAACCTTCAAAAAAGCAAAACAAGACATGAGAAAGAAATATGTGAGAAAAATTCCTACACACACAGAAATTCTGAATATATTGCCACAATTCTACTTAGCAGAAGCTGCGTATGCTTATGCAAAATATTCATATCACTTCTTTCTGTGCCAATAAATTAGGATATTAAAAAAAAATCCAACTCCAAAATAGTTGACGTGGTTATTTGTGGGTTTTTTTTTTTTACCCTCTCTTAAAGACTCATATATGAATATAATTGATATTGATTATATTTTGTAGAATTAGACTACTCCTATAAAAATATATTATTTTTTACATACTGTACATAGAGCATATTGTAGTGGAATTATTAGTTGTCCATTTAGATGAGATTTCAAATCACATTCTTAAATCCCAGTTTCATGTTAAATAATACCGCACATTAAGGTGCAAGCCATTAAAAAACATATTTTTAAATCACTTGTTGCTTAAGCCTCAAGAACAAATAATTTATAAATAACAAAATAGAACAGCAAATCTAATTCAACAGATGATTTTAAAAAACCATACCAGTAAAAACAGTTACACTTATTAATAGTAAAAACTAAGCAGAATCACAAAATCATCCAAAAAAAGATCAGGTAAGGCTACATAGGGATGGTCTAGCTGAGTCTCAAAAATCTCCAAGTACAGATATCCCACAGCTTCTCAGGGCAACCTATTCTAGTGCTTAGTTACTCTTGAGACAGTATTTCTTCTTATATCCAGGTGGAGCCTCTTTTTTTTTCCCATTTATGACCACTCTTCCATTTTTGCACCATCTATCTCTACAAGACTGGCTCTGTCTTCTTACTAATCTCCTATGAGGTATTGTAGAAGGCTGTAAGTTTTTATTTTTCACGGGCAGCACAGTGAATCATGGTCTATCTCATATTTAAATAAATTCATATTCAAGCTTAAGTTAAAAACATCCAGTTTGAGCATCTTATTTGAGATTTCACTGTGAAATGTAGGCGTACCCAATTTGCCCAAACTCAAAATAACATTTAACAGAAATTAGCTTAATCTTACCCCTCTTCTATCAATGCATCAAACTCCACGTCACAATGAAGCTGTGATAATATCCTTAATGAACAGATTCACTTTTGTGTATGATGCCACATCTTCCCTTTTCCATCTACCCAAATGCCAGATTTAGCCACCATATGATGTGAAGGCTAAAGTTATTAATTTTTGAATCAAACATACTATATGCTATTTAGAAAGGCATACAAGGATGCAGAAAAAGTGTTTCATTAGGTATTTTTTCATCTTTTTTTTCATCCATACTAAAAATAAATCAATAACATTCAATTTTGTTATGAGAAAGCCAGTAAAGAGAAATAGCTGAATATAAATATTAGTCCCAGACTAATTATTATTTGTAGTAATCCATGACGAGAAAAACAAATGAAGTAAATTGAATTTATAATTTAAAGCTGTAAACATAAGTCAGCTATGGAATAATGAAATGAAAAATCCTAGCAAAATGAAAAACTATGGCATACATTTAAATTATTGTTAATGCTTGATAACAATACACAAAAGTCCCAATGATTTAATGTCCAAGACATAATAATATATTTCAGCATTTACTTAGTAAGCATAAAGTGCCAGTTCTGCATTCATCCCACATAGTCTGCAAGGTAAGTTTCCTGACACACTTCTTAGGGCAGCAAAAGAACTACGAAGTTATTCTAAATTCAAAAACACAAGATAAATTCTGCAATTCTCATCATGAGAGACCTCTCAGATGGTCTGGAATCTTCCCTGCATTTAAACCAAGCAAGCTACAGCTCTAAAACTTGGGACAGAAGAGGAGATCCTTCCTGCTCTCCTGTTAAGGGAAGCAGAGCGGCCCTGGCCACTCTCCCAGCTGGGCTCCCTGGCAAAGGGGGAAGGTGCCGCTCAGCCCTGCACTTGCCGGAAAGGCAGACAAACAAGGCTGCCTGCAGGGAGAGCAGTGTAAAAGCTGTCAGGACAATATTACACAAAAAAGCAGCTACAACGTGGAAATGTCCATGAGCCGGGTTGTGCAGGCAGGCTTACACTGCTCCTGCAGCCTCACACTATGTCCAGGCAAGTGCACTGCTTGTTTGCCTCAACACAGAGGACTTCGGGGGCACTAACTTCCACTTTGTGCCATCAGCAGCAATAACGTAGGACAAAGATGACCAACGAGAAAATAGAGTGAGCCCCCAAAAGAGGGAATTGGCTAAATAAAGAGATAAACAAAAATGTACCTACGTATTGTACACAATGGCTCTTCACACCTATTTCCTGTATGGATAAACTTCCTGGGATATTCTCCCCATTCACACAAAAAGTGCAGTACCGTCTGGCTAAAATTCTCATTTGGGGATGAAAACAAACATGACAAACAGGGATCATTTACACAGTCCATTTTACCTAGGCCGATCGATATAAAGCTATCACAGATATGGAGTGGTAAGTGACATTTCAAATGAACAATAACAAGGAGCAAAACAAATCAAATTCCAGTGCACACTATGGTAAGTGATTACTGCTGCACTCAGCATACACTAAAAACAACATGCAAGACAAAAATCTTGGTGATTTGCCATGCTACTCTCTGAAGAAATAAATCATTCTAAAAGTTATTTTTTTATTTAATACAGAAAGCTCTTACCATCACAAAAGTAAAAGAAATACAAGCTTCTGACATGCGATACCGCAGATTCCCACTGCGCCACTGTAACACTATCAATCACCATTGCGGATATCCATGACGTAATCCGAACTCCTTTTGACTAGTTTATGCCATCACTTTAGCAAGATTTTGATAACTGTTGAGAAAAGGAAAGAGGTATCACTAAAACACTTGAAATTATTTTTCCTTATATTTTAATTAAATAAACAGGCCATTTAAGGAAAGCCACCTTCTCTAAAAAGCAATTACCAGTTTTACAAGTTTCTTACAAAAGAAAGGAATAAGCTACAAACTAATTAAGAATGTAAAATGTTAATTCAACTTTAAAATGTATATCTTAGCATGCTAAAAATGTATGAGAAAACGAATTCACAACAAAGTCACGTTTTAGGGTGTCCAAACCCCAGACAATACTTAAAGCAACACGAGGGAAAAAAATAGTGAAAGATACTGGTTACTACAGCTAATGAACTATGATTTACATTATCAAGTATGTTTTATAAATAGACATTTTTTCTGCCATTTAGCTGTAATCAACTAAGCAGAACTCAAATTTAAACTTACTCCGAATCCCCAAATTACCTCAACACAATAGGAGCGAAAGGTTTGCCAGAGTTCACAGTAACCCCATTCTTCACATGCAGGGGGAACAATGTGCACTTACACTAGCGAGGCGGTGGAAGGGAACCAATTTTATATCGAAACACAGAAATAAATGTACTGATCCAAACCCCACACAATGCTGCCAATTGTTTCCAGAATGGGCCATCAGTGCCAGTGCCCAACAGCTATTATTTGAAAAAACATCCTGGGAATCCCATCTCATTTTAGAACACCTAGTAGTATGGAGAGACTGTAAGTTACTATAGAAAAGGAATTACTGAATCTTGCTTCACATGCTGTTGCTTTCCTAAAAGTGAACTTATCTGTGATGCAGAAGACAAGCAGTCAGCTTTCTCCACTTTTTTTTTTTTCTTTACACAGTTGTTATCTTTCTATTATAAATCTATAAAGTCTTTGGAAATTATCTCATTTACTTGAATCATATTTATGATTTTATATATATTAGAATTAAAAAAATCCCCTTCTTTAAGCTGACAATTCAAAATATAAATTCAGCTAAATACAAGCAGAACAGATTTACCGCATCTGGTTACAGTGAAATTCAATAATGAAAACATTTCTAGAACAACAGTTCATGAAATATCACCATTTTTATTCTATTGATAAATTAGATTTCAATTATTCAGTGGAACTTCTTATTTTAGTAAAGAGCTGAAAAATGTCATGGTAAATGACGAATGGAAAAGAAAAAATACAGGGGTAGAGACTTGAAAAAATGCAAGAGGTAAGTGACAGCAAGGGCTCAGGCAAAAAGAACAGTTGCTACTTAGCCACATCAGGGACAGAACCAGACGAGCGAGAGGTGAATTCCAGAAAGAGCTCCTGTATCAAGTGACTTCAGGATGACTTTTTTTTCCCCTCTATCGAGTTTCTGAGGCTTTTAATATTCTGGTACACTCTCAGTTACTTAAACCTATATTGTTGCTTATCCTATAAATCTATTTAAGCGAAAGGAGGAACATACGTGTAGAGAGCAAGAAATATTTTGACAGGACTGTGGAAAAAAGGAACAATATACCCCCCTCCCCCAATCCCTTAGCTCAGCCACATGGGTAAATATATATATTTTATATATATACACACATATATATACACACACACACACACACACATATATATATATAAAACCTTTATATAGGCAAAATATATCAGTAAGTTGACCAGAAAAAGGCCTGACCCGGAAACCTAAAGAAACAAGAGAACATGGAAGCAAAAATTCTATTACTGTTCTAGGATTACCTAAACACAGAGAGCTCAGAAAACACACAGAGCTTGTACATATAAGCAAGGAAACTATTAATTACAATAATCTCAGTTAATTACAACTCTCAACGTTGAAAACAGAATTTCAATTTCACAAGAATCAATATAATTTGATTTTATATTGAATGAGAGAACATTAAACTTTGCGTATTTTTATGCAAAAGAAATTCCACAACTTTGGTGTCAAAATATTTCAGTTATTTGTTTTGAATTGTATACAATTTTGCAGAAATACAGAGTGGACAAAATTGAGCTTTCACTGAAAAAAGTGCCACTAAAAGACAACTGTTGCAGTAAAGTTAAATATTTTTACATACTGTACATAGAATATATTCTAGTGGCATTGTGATTTGTCTGTTTGGGTGACATTCTCAGGCAATTTGGCAGACTGCTATCATATAATTATGTCAAATACTGAAGCAGCAAAAAT